AAAAAAAGAATCTTCTGCAAAATATTTACTGTACATACTACTCCTTCTTTATTTCAGTCACTAGATAAATGATTAGGTTCTGGAGATTCAACTTACATTTAGCCGTTCAGAATATAATAAATGAGTTTGTAAAAAAACTGAGAAATTTTTAATTGGGTGTTATGACTTGCCTGCTGCCAGATCAAGCACTACCAATTAGAGATCATGATTAAACTGTGTCACCCCCTGCCAGAAGTAACAACTCAGAAGACAGCCATCTTCAGATTTACCAGCCTAAAAACCTCAAATCCTCTGATTATGGAGTTGCTAGTTTTCACTTAAATTATTCACTGTTCATGTAAGAGGAGATGCGTTGCTGTCTCTGTTTCTTCTTATTTCAGTAGTTTGTATCAAACTGCATGTTTCATAGTAATCACCTTTAACCTCAGTATTATATTTTATGTCTGAATCTTGTGTCTTATAATTTACTTCTGAAATGTTAATCTGTGTTTCTTCTATGTACTGTAACACACATCAAACATTATATAAAATAAAAACATAGTAGATACAAAAATCAATAGGAACATGATTTATACTTAATGCCAACACTGATTCAAATCTGACCTGGAATTTTGATCAGTGCATGCCAGTAAATCATCTTACCCATTTTTTATTAGGTAGTATTCACTCTTTTATTTCTCTCTCTAGGTACTCTCCCCCTACATGTACACTCTTACACTCTTATCCCATTACATGAAATGGCTGTGAAAAATAACACCAATACTCCATTATTATCTAAAGCAGGGGTTCTCAACCTCTTTTGCCGGTGTACCACTAATTCCAATTTAAAACATTAAATGTACCACCAACCAAATGCGTTCAGGGAAAACTGTTATTAATGTAAATATAAAATTTTGATTTTCTTACTTAGTTTGCGTACCACTCAACATTGGCTCGTGTGCCACCAGTGATACACTTACCATAGGTTGAGAAATGAGATCTAAGGGAAACAAAGGAAACCTCTAGGTAACATTTGATCCACCCTTAAAGATTGCTGTCTTCTAGGTTACTGCACCAATAAGTCCAGCAGAAGTTTACTAACGCTTCAGAGGCACTTGCTGCCTCCATAATCAGGATCTTACTGCTCTGGACATCAGATCCTGCTGGCTGTAACAGCCTTCACCTTTCTCACATTAGCAATTTTGTTCATTGGACATTGAATTGGAAATTCTGTTTCTTTAACATATGAATTCAAGGAGTAAAATAAAGATTGAGAAACACATGCAATTTCTTCGTCAGTCTCAGGGTTAGAACATAAGAACACACACCTTACACTAACTAGTCTACAACTCCCATACAATTCGTAGATGAAGTTGACCTGGCAGTATTTTATGCCTTAAAGATCGTTTCTCACTTTGAGTCATTCAGTCTTCACACTTCTGCCACTGTTCTTCAAAATTTATCCTAAATGTGTTCAAAAAGCTATGAAGCTTCATTAAAACATATCAGTCAGTGTAAAAAAATGTATATTCCTTGCAGACCCTAGTTCTTTTACCTTATGAATCCCTCAAAATATTGTGCTTTAAGCTTTTTATATGCAATAATAGGGGTCCGCAGTGGCCGCGTGGTCTGAGGCGTGGGCCTTGTGCTACTTGGTCGCTGGGACCGTGGGTTCGAATCCCACTCAAGCCATGGATGTTTGTCCGCGTTTTTCTCTTGTGCTGTCCTGTGTACAGATAGAGGCCTTGAGACGGGCCGATCCCTCATCCAAGGAGTCCTACCGAATGTCTATAGATCAAGCCAACAAAAAAAGACATTGGGACCACAGTGCTCAGGCACTTGAATGAGTTGTCAAAGTATCAAAGTAAAGTACCAAGTACATGCAATAATTGGCAACACTATTGAAGCCTTTGACACATTCCTCAATGCTGAGTTACTTGACTAAACAGTTATGAGAGGACACACCCCATTTCTTGGTGTTCTTGGCATAATTTTACTCACATTAAATGTGTCCACCTAGTCAAAAGTTTGGATTGCTACATTCTTGGACTTTATCTATTGTCTACTATTCAAAAGAGTACAATATTTTGTGAACTGGATCCATTTATATCCTCAGGTAAAAAGAGACAGTATTGATGATACTTTTTACTCACTGCTTCTGTCTCTGCTGTTGAAATCAGCAGGGCCATTCAGCCCCTTAGAGCTTCCAAGTGTGCTGGACCGGATGGAGTTACATCATTCGTAATTAAGGGTTGTTCTGATACTTTTACCTCCTTGTTAACTTTTATTTCTAATCTCAGTTTAACTAATGTGTAATTTCCGTCTTTCCGGAAACAAATTGCTCTTGTTCCAGTGTTCAGAAACAGCAACTATACCATCGTTAGTAATTGCAGACCTATTTCTATCGTTATCAATGTTTCTAAAATATTTCAATTTAACATTCATGATCGTTTGTACAATTTATACTTTTCTGTGTGAGTCTGTCCTACATGTACCAACTTGTTTGTATCTTCCACTTTGGCCAAGACAAGAACCTATAGATAGACAACTTGAGACTATACTCTAGATTTTCTGGTTATTAAATAAAGCAAAAGTTCATTGCCATATTAACAGAATCATATCAGAGCTCATGAGGACATCATAATATAAAGACACCACAAACCCCCTCTGAAAATATGGTAAAATTAAAATGTTTCAAAATGACAATAACAAATTAAAATCACATCCATGAAGATATTAAGAGAAACTTACATCTGTTCGGAATTCTTTTCTTTTCTACTGTCTAGAGAAATATAATTTTATTTGCCATTGGAAGTCTTCTAGGCTGTGATGCTCTGAAACTTTGGTAACCACCTACATGACCACAAGTTATAAATATCTGGAAGATCATGATTGACATCCTGACAGCCATGATGGCTTAAGATTTCAGTTTTACGCATTTCCTTGCATGGGTGTGAAATCTGATGTTTGAGAACAAGTTGCTGTAGAAAATTATTGGATCTAAGAGAGGGACAACAACAGGATTCTGGAGAAAACTGAGTTATGTAAAGCTTCATAATTTCTATTCTCCATTTTCTTCTAATTCTTTTGTATTTATCTATCTAATATGTTTAATGTAATGATGCTGCGATCCAAGACGTATCAAATATTAAGTTGATAAAAGAACAGATAATAACCTTAGCCCGTAAAATGAACACCACGAAACGTTAAAAACGAACGTTAGGTAACACCTATCACAATTATGAGTTTGAGGCCTTTCTGCGTGTAGTATTTGATTACTATGCTCAC